AATAATTTTTCTAGAAACTTTCTTCCCAAATTTCTTCCCCTTATGGTCATTAAACTTAAAGAAACATTTTTTTCACAAATTATTTTTTTATTATTTTTTATTCCTCGCTTCATTTGACAGCTTTTTTAAAGCAAGTTTTGGCAAAAAAATTTTTTTTTCTCAATTTTCTCTCTAATTTTTTTCTCCAATTTTTATTCCTCCATCTATTCATAATTATTTTTTTTCTCTTTATTATAATTTCTAAAAAATGCAAAATTATTTCCATAAAAGCCTTCATTGTTCAGCTAACACAAAGGCAAGTTGTTTTAGGTCCCTTGAAAATACCCTCAGGGCAAATAACCTTTATTTACTACAAACTACTTTGTATTTTAACCTCTTTCCCCCACAACCTTTCTGCTAAAAATATTTTGCCCTTGTTCGCTCATTGTCAAAAAATCTTTTTTTTTCATTCTCAATTTTGCCTCCCTTCCAACCCTCACAATAAACAAAAATCCTCCCCTCACATTCAAGTCCTCAAATAAATAAAATATAGTTTAGGCGTAAACATTGAGGGTTATTATTTGACTGAGGTATATATTTGTAGAAGAGGAGGGGGGAGGGGAAAGTGAAGAGGGTCACTAAAATAAATAAATTTTTTAAAGTGTTTTGTTATTGGTCATTATGCAAATATTTTATAAAATTACTTGAAATATTGTAAGAATTTTTAGAGTAAATATTGTTCAAGTTTTAAGATCATTCAAGAAGCAACGATTGCTCCCTTAACAATCCATCGACAGTAGACCAGTACAGAGGGGCTTTTGAAGCAATAAAAAAATAAATTAGTTGATCTTTTCTGTCATGTCTGATGTTCATGCTGTGGAAAAATTGCGGATGGGAGATGGAATTGAACTATCAAGGAATGAGCCCAGACCGAAGCACAACCGACTGTGCCACCATCCAACCCGATGAAGGGTTATTTATTTTTATTTATATTCTTTCTGCAAGTGCGGACACAATATTTTCGAGATTTTACCTGGTAGAAAAACCACCTTTCTTCATTTTAATAAAAATCCCATGGATAAAAAATTGAAGGAAATTAATTGATAAATTACCCAACTTTCGCTGGCTTTGGAGGAAAGGGTAATAGTTTGGAACTCCCCCCTCTTTTTTCCTTTCTATTTTTTCCTAGTTTCTTATCATTATGGCATATTATATATCATTTAAAGAGAGTTCAAAATGGTCAGGGAAACAGGAAAAGAAGGGGGAGCGAATTCCAAATTATTACCGAGGAAAGTAATGTTGGATTGAGAATCGTTATATTCTCCAGTATATTTTGATAATCCCCCATAGTTATTCATTACAATTTCCCTTTTCCCTAATTACTTCCTTAATACCTTCCCCCTTCCCTCATGCCTCCCCCCATCCCTCTCCCACACACTGATAATACCCCAAATTTTTCAAAAAAATATTTCAGAAAAAATACATACTTTGCCCTCTCCCATTTCCTCTAAATAAATAAAATATAAATTCCCTCAAATAAATAATAATCCACTCATCCAAGTAAGCGTCATCTGCCTTATTTAAAAAGCGGTAAATCTTCTCTCATCACTTGGGTCAATCAATTTTTCTTCTCTTTTTTTCCTCTCCTTTTTTCATACCAATCCTTTTAATACCTCATATATTTTAAATATTTATTATACTAATAAATCCTAATTAATTTATTTTTTTAGTTAGAACAATTAATTGTTTTTTTTTGTTTAATTGGGACACCCATACCCTCTTAATCTACCTCTTACTCTCCCTTCTAGATGCTCGTTTTAGTTATTATTTTTTAGAAATTAATTTAGACTACAAATAAGGTCTTTAAGGGAACTTTCAAGAAAAGGTGACATTTGGTCCCAATTCCGCAAAACTTCTCTTTTTTGAATTATTTGGTTAGCAAAGATTAGGTTTTGATTACTTACCAAATTTTTCCCCCTACATATATTGAGAAATTAATAAAAAAGAAAGTTAGCCTCCAAATAGGGTCTTTAAAAAACTTTCAAAAAAGGGTGACATTTGGTCCCAATTTAGCAAAACTTCTCTTTTTTGAATTATTTGGTTATCAAAGAGAAATTAGTGAAAAAGGAAGTTAATAAGGCGAAAAATAGGCTTATTATAAACCCCTTTGACCACCTTGGGAAGTTCCTAAAACCCCCATTCCTAGTTATAAAGTTGAAAATTTAGTCAGAGTTATCAAATTAATACGTTCTTATTAAACAAATAATTTTTGAAAAAAAAATTAATTTTAAGATAACAACCAAGTCCTTTCCCCTCTCAATTATGTCATCATCATTATCTTCTTCTTCACACTTGTCTCCCTTATCAAAATTAAAAACAACCAAAATATTTAGTTTATCTAAAAGATTTATTTATTTACTTATTTTTATAATATTTATGAGACAACAAAATATTGAAGGGGTTAGAAATGGTAATTTTAAAATAATTTTAAAATTTTATATCAGTAGTTTTGCAACAAATTTTTTTTAAAGAGGAAAATTGTAAATTACCCGCAAAATAAACAAAAAAAGAAAGAAAATATCCTAGTAGGCCGAGAGGGTGCTAAATAAAACATATTTTAAAAATAAAAGACAAAAAGCGAAACAATAGAAAAATTCGAAACTGACATACTAGTTAATATCGAACTCAGTTCGGGATTGAGTGAAGAAATCCGGTTTTTTCTTATGGCCCGGATGAGTTTAAAAACAAAACTGGATACCGAGCCCTACAATTTGAGGACCTGACAACACTACTAGTGTATATCTGGGCATTTCTATCCTGCTTTTAATTAATTTTTTTTGTATTCTTGCTAAGCTCGTCACTTTTTGATCTTGTCACTATTTTTGTCTTGAAATTAAAATTTTTTTATTTTTTTTATTAAAATTCTCCTTTCAAATATCCAACTCTTTAATGGTCACTCTATTTGCTTCTTCTTTTTAAATTTTCTTTCAAATTTACTCCTTTTATTTACCAAAATATATCCTCTAGAGGATTTAAAAATAAAAAGAACGTTTTGTAGTGCATAAATTTTAAAATTGCGCAAATTGTCGGCCAAAGATTGACACAATTTTGAAGGATTTTAAGGGCAAAATTGGAAAATTAGAGCTAAGAAAAATAAATTTGGCAAAAATAAATAGAAAATAAAGGAATGGGAAATAATTGAAAAAATGTAGAAATAATGCTTAAATTTTTTGCTAAAATTTTATTTGACAATTTAATGGATAATAATGTGTTTTTAATTTAATAAATTGGTTGACATGAAAAATTAAATAGAGAATAGGCTGAAAAATAAATTAAATTAATTCTGAAAATAATTATAAAATACTGCATAGAAAAATATAAATTCTGATATTAAATTCTGAAAAAAAATTCTGAAAAATAATTCTGAAAAAAATTCTGAAAATTATTCTGAAAAAAAATTCTGAAAATTATTCTGAAAAAAAATTCTGAAAAATAATTCTGAAAAAAATTCTGAAAAATATTCTGAAAAAAAATTCTGAAAAATAATTCTGAAAAAAATTCTGAAAAATATTTTGAAAAAAATTCTGAAAAATTCTGAAAATAATTCTGAAAAGAAATTCTGAAAGAAATTCTGAAAAATATTCTGAAAAAAAATTCTGGTAAAAAAAATTCTGAATAATATTTTGAAAAAAATTCTGAAAAATTCTGAAAATAATTCTGAAAGGAAATTCTGAAAAAAATTCTGACAAAATTCTGAAAAAATAATTCTGAAAATTCCGAATGTACTGAAAAAATTCTGAAGAATTCTGACATTAAATTCTGAAAATTTAGAATATTCTGGAAAAAATTCTGAAAAAATTCTGAAAAATTCTGGAAAAAATTCTGAAAAATTCTGGAAAAATATTCTGAAAAAAACCCCTAATTAACCCCATTAAATAAACATTAAAAATGCAAATTTATTTAATTTTTCCATTTAAATTTACTATATACTCGAATTGCTACATTTGAAGGGTGCGCGGACAACAAAATTGCTGCTAACAATGCCTTATTATTAAAAAATTTTTCTCTTTTTTTTATTTTTTTTTCATTATTTTTACGCATCGTTGGTGGTCTTTCCGAGTGCCATCTGCTTTTTTTATTTTTTTTATTTTTTAATTCTGTGCTTTTATTAAAAAATTTGGTAAATGGAAGATTAAAATAGAAACATACAAAAAAGGCTTGTAATTATTTATTCTGAAATTCTGATTTAGGAAAATACATTTGTATTTAATATTTGTTAAATAAAATACATAAATTCTGTTTTTTAATTCAAGTTTCATGTGTGTGTTTTGTTTGTGTTTTTTCTGAAATACATAGATTCTGATTTTTAGATTCTGATTTTCAATAAATTCTGAAATAAATTTTGATTTTAAATAACCTCTGAAATAAATTCTGGTTTTAAATAAATTCTGATTTTTTTAATTCTGAAATAAAATTCTGATCTTTAAAATCAGAAATAAGATTCTGATTTTAAATATATTCTGATTTTTAAATTCTCATTTTTAATAAATTCTGAAATAAATTCTGATTTTTTTAATTCTGAAATGAATTCTTAAATTAAATTCTGATTTTAAATAAATTCTGATTTTTAACTAATTCTGAAATAAAAACTGTAAAACTTGTAAAATTTAAAAACAAATTCTGATTTTCTTTTGTTAGCTGTATATTTTCCCATTGTGATATTGCTTTGTGACCTACTTCCGGTCAACAAAATATAATATACTTCTTTCTCAACCTTTTTTAAGTAAATCTCCTTTTTATTTTTTTGGTTGCCATATTCTCTCAATTAAACAAATAGACCCCCAGTTTATTTGTCTAAATGTAATATTTGCTTTTTGGGCTGTTGGCACTATTAAAGTATATCTAGTTTATTTACCTATATATGAGATGACATAAGGAAAACCAAGCCAAAAATTGTTTGAGAGATATTAAATTGAAAAAAAATTTTAAGAAGGTAGAGGGACTGGACAAAAATCAAAAAATTTTTTTTATAAAATTTTCTTCCAGCGCCCCCACAACTTCTCCCTTTGGAAGGCCAACAATCTCCAATTCGCATTGCGTTGGGCACCAAAGGATTTAAATTGAGCTGTCCAGTTAGGACAAGTTCTGAAGAGGAATGGGGACATAATAATCATCAAATTAATGAGGAAACAAATTTAGAAAATGAATTAATTATTAAATGGAGTAGAGATGGGAGGGCTTTGGAGACTGGAAATAATGGGCATTATAATATGGCTAATGGAAATAGGGATTTGTGGATTTTACAGGCGAGGAGTGAAGATAGTGGGCTTTATCGATGCACGGTGAATTTTAGGAGAAGAAATTTTGAAATTTTAAAAATTTTTAAATCCTAGGCCATTAACGAGTGGGGCCATCAAAGTGTAGAATTTCGATTACAAGTGTTTGACCCAACTAATACAGTAGCTGATGTTGTTAGATCTAGTGAAAGTAAATATTAAAAAAAATATTTTTTTTAATTGAAATAATTATTTAAAGTATCTGCCCCAACATGGAATGAACCCATAGGTAAAGAATCAATTTAATAAAAAAATTAATTTAAATAAATTAGGCCCTCTTCCAATCCAAATACGTGTAAACAAAGGCAAACACATTCAATTACAATGTCCTACAGCACATGGAAATCCTTTGCCTAGAATGACTTGGTTAAGGCTGACAGGGCATTCTGAACAAGGTGAAAATCGAAATTTAAATCCGAATTGAATTTTTCATTACCCCATCAAGTTCAAGCAGTACAGCCAAAAAAATTTTAACAGAAATCCCCATTTTTATTACCATCAAGTTCAAGCAGTACAATCAAAAAATTATAACAGAAATCCCCATTTTATTACCCCATCAAGTTCAAGCAGTACAACCAAAAAATTTTAACATAAATCCACATTTTTTCTACAAACAAGTTCAAGCAGTACACCCAAAAATTTAAAACCCAAATTGCTTGAATTTTTTATAACTCCATCAAGTTCAAGCAGTACACCCAAGAATTTTAATAAATTTTTATAGAGCTAGGCAAAATGTCGCATCTCTCATTTGACCGTGTTCGCCCTCAAGATGCCGGAATCTATGCCTGTCGTTTAGAAAATAATCTAGGAGCGATTAGAGCAGATTTTTCACTTCAAATAGTTGAACAAGAAGAGAGCGAAGAAAAAATATTCGTTGAAAATAATGAAGAAAAAACACAAAATTTGCCTTCTAGAGGAAGTATTTCCTCTTCAATACCTTCACATATGAGATCTGCAGCTTCAAATGTTGTTCCCCCATCAACTCCACGAATTGATGTACTTCACGGACAACAAAAATTGCATGTGGGGAATACTGCAGAATTGCAATGCCGTGTTGAATGGAGAGGGGAAAGGGACAAAACTGTGATAAGAGTAAGGAGTTTTTTGGGGAAGGAAGTCAAAAAGAAAAAATTTTTTTCAGTGGCTTCGTCAATTAGACAATGCTGATGTAAATGCTGTTAAAGCGAAGGCACCCAATTCTAGTCTTTTAAAACTTGGACAAATTACATTGTTGATGATTGAACAGGAAGACGAACCTGTCCGTGTGGAAAAATCGGAGAATGATGGACAGAAACATTTTTTGAATGAATTGAGAATTACAAACTTGCAGAAAGAGGCAAGTTTTGAAAATTTTAGAACATGTTTTTAATTATCGAAACATGTTTGTAAACAGTGAAACATCCTTAAAACACTGAAACTTGGCTATTAGAAACAAGTTAAACTTACTAAAACATCGCTCATGTTCGGATTAAATTCTGATTTTTTGCTGCTTAAATAAAATTCTGACAAACATGTTTAAATTAAATTCTGATATTTATAATTTAAACAAAATAACTTCTGAAATGTTTAGATTAATTTCTGATTTTTTGTCTAAATAAAATTATGACAAACTTGTTATATCCCTATTATTCTGATTTTTCATTAGTAATTATAAAAACATTTTTTAAGGATTCTGGCCGTTATTTCTGTGTTGTAACAAACCCTGCTGGCCAATTTGTTTACCGTTCAATAAACATTTCTGTCGTCGACTCCAATTCATTAATTCCTTCAACCCATGCTTTATTGAATCTTTACTTGTCTCAATCGCCTCTTTTTAGAGCCTTAACTCTTTGCCTGTTAGGCTTGTTTATAATTGGATTTATTCCTTTAATTGGCTGGCTTTTTTTTGTTAGAATATATAACAATGGAAGGAAACAACAAAAATTAAAAGAAAAATTTTCTGAAGGGAAAAATCAAAAAGAAAGTTTAAATCAACTGCCAAATACCTTAACATCATCTTCTTCAACCTCGGCAACCAATAGCAACAACAACACAAAAATAAGCAATATAAATACAAACAACAATCAGAATTTAAATCAAAATTTAAATCAGAATTTAATCCAAACATTTTCAACTGACCCTTATTTTAATAATAATTGTTTTCTGCCTCCCCCGCCACGCATTCCTCCACCTATTCTACCTGTTAATAATTCATCTGCTGTAAATTGGCCTTCTTTACCAATGCAGGCTTCAACTTTAGAAAGATATGTTAGAACGAATAAACCTCAAATGTTGCATAGAACTAGGGCGGATGAAGAAATGAGTAAAATTAGCAGTCATATTTATGGTATGTTGAGAAAAACAGAAACAAATGTTTCTAAAGTTTGAATGTTTCTAAACATTAAAAGAAATAAATAAAAATGTTTAAAACATGTTAAAACATTTTAAACTTGAAACAAAACATGTTCATTAAAAACATTAAAATTAAACTTGGAAACAAACTTAAAACTTGAATAAAAACATTTATAAAAACAACAAACAAAACAACAAAAACATTCAAGTTTGTTTCCAAGTTTTAATTTTACAAACTTGTTATTATGAGAAACATGAACAAAACAAGTTTTTACAAACACAAAAACACATGCAAAACACAATTAAAATAAATACAAAACATTTTCTAATTTTCAGCTTCCGGTTCCCCCCTACCTATATCAGTAAATTATAATAATCCAAGAATGTTTAATAATCAACTCAATTTTAATGAAATGAATAATCCTTTAATTAATAAAGGACAGAACATTAATATTAATAAAATGAGTAATAAATTAATTGAAGAACAAAGAAGGCCTTTAATCGAGGCTTATAGGTAAAATTTAAATTCAAAAAATTATTAAATTAAATTTTAATTTATTTTAGGTCAACAGAGCTATTAAACTATAAAATTGATCTATAGAAAAAATAGTGGAAATTTTTCATTTTAAGCTTTTATTCGATTTATCCCATAATTATAGAGCTTATTTTTATTTATAAATTTGAATAAATTATATAAAAACACAAGACAAATGTTTGTATTTTTAATGTGTTTTAGCAAGTTTATTTTAAAACAAGTTTTAATGTGTTTACAACTTTAATATGTTTATTTGTGTTTTCGCAAGGTTTAATTAATGTGTTTTCCAAGTTTAACAAAGTTTAATTAATGTGTTTTCCAAGTTTTGATATTTTACAATTGTAAATACAAATAGGATTATTACCTCATTTACTAACGACAGCTTTTCTGTGGCAATAACCAAAATCGAAATTTCAAAATATTTTTTTATGACAATTTTGATTAAAATTAAAAATTAATTAATTAAAACTAATTAGTAAAATACAAAAATCCGATTTTTAAACTGTATTTTTATTTCCCGTTGATTTTCGCGATTTGAGATTTTGATTAAAAAGTCACTCAACTTATTATTAATGTAAATGCTCAAAGAAATTTTTATAAAAAATTTTCAAACATTGCTAATATGAAAAATAAAATTTTTTAAAATTTATTTAATAATTTCCAATTACGCCATAAATATTAATTCCAAAAAATATTTTCTTTTCCATACAAACGAAAGCTACCAATTGCCTCATCCTTATGCTGCTTGTCACATGAACGCTGCCTCATGAACACTCAATCGCAAAGCATCAAAATTGCGTTGGATACTTTTTAGGTAAATAAAAAAATAATTTTTAAAACTATATTTAGAAAATTTTGCTTGATAAATTAATTTTTAAATTAAAAGCTTTTATTTTTAATGCTGTTTAAATTAAAAAAAATTTTTTTTTAAATCCCAAACAATTTTTTAGAAAATTTTTTGTATTTTGTTGTTTGTACGAAGCTTTTAAAAATGATTTTGAATCTGAATTGGCCATATCATTTTTTAATTTTATTTAAAAAATTTTCTTTATTTTTTAGCAAAATAATATTAAATAATTTTTCAAAGTAAAATAAAATATAGAAATCCTCAAATTATTAAAAAATTTTAAGTAGAAAGTTTAAAGTTTCCTCCCCCAAAAAAGCCGGCTCTAGTTTAGGGCATGCATCCCCTAGCTTTTATGAGGCCCTAAAATACTATAAACGTCCCTTCAGAGTATATGCGTCACAAAAATACTGATGGGACGCCTACTATTTTTGGGACGCATATTCTCTGATGGGACGCATAAAAACACATGGAACGCATAAATGCCCATGGGACGCATGTCCTAAACTAGAGCCAAAAACCTCCCAGAAAATTTTCCACATGACCCTCCCTTTCACTCGGAGACCAACCCTACTAACAACCCTTAGTCCTATCGGACCAATCTATTTTTCATTACCCCTAAAAAGGGCCATTCTATTGGAGAGGCCATTCTATTAGAATAAAATATATACATAAATTCTAATATTATTAAAAAAATTTGAAGTAAAAAGCTTAAAGTTTCCTCCCCAAAAAAAGCCTCCCCGAAAATTTCCCACAAAATTTTCCACATGACCCTTCGTCCTAACAGTCCAATCCCTTGTTTTAATTTCAGATTTTCAATAAAAAGTTTCAATAAAAGATGAATTATTCAAAAAATGTTTTAACTACTATATTTATTTTTACAATAATATTATTTATTTTATTTGAATATATAACTAGTCAAGAATGTATTGAAAAAGGGGATGATTGTTGTGACAAGGATAAATGTAGCAAGGGTTGTTGTGAAGGGTTAACATGCCAAAATCGTCCAAAATCTAATGGCAGCTTCTACTACACAAATAAATGCCTTCCAGGTAATTTATTAAAGCTTCTTATAATAAACCGACCAGTAAAATCTCCGGTTAGTCAGTTCTGTAGAGCACATAGCTATTTAATTTCTAGGCTATGCAGGAGTCGGATAATGGATAATATATCACTCCGATCACCAGAAGTCTGATGCTTGTTCGCCCCCAGCCGAGGAATAATTCTCTGCAGTAGCAAAGGGAACAAATAGCTCTAGCTAATGCTGGGTATGGCTCCGGAGCTGGAGCCGGAGCCAACAAATGGCAAATACCCAGCACTGGCTCTAGCCCTGTTTAGATTTATAGTTTAGTTTTATAGTTTGGTTTCGAATAGAGATGTTGTCGACATCTTCTAAAGCATATATTTTTGATTTCCGCAGGTCAATGTAATCCAGAAAATGGAACATGCAATAACGAGGATGAAATTGGATGTTGTGGAGGAACAACATGTGTCCATCACATATGTACTAAATGTTTGCATACTGGTAATTATTGCAGTAAATTTAATAGTCCTAACACTTTTTGTTGTTTGGGACTTTGCAAAATAAATGGAGACAAATTGAGCTTTACTTGTCAGAATGAATAAATTTTTATTTAAATTAATTTTTTGGGGGGTTTGATTTATGGAAATACATACCAGGGATGTCACGGGTTACCCGAAACCCGGTCCGAAGAAAATTTTGAAGACCCGACCCGACATTTTTCTCAACCCGTGACATCCCTGATACATATTTTAAAATATTATTTTTTTATAATTTTAATTCTTTTTTCTATTCTTTTTTTATAATTTTAATTAAATCATTAAAAAGGGTAAATTTATTTGGCAAATAAATAAAAATCAGAGGAGAAAACGTCATAATTCTGAAAATAAAATATCATCTAAAATTTTTAAGTTTATCTTCTCACTTGAAAGTTTGATTAGGTGAAATTAACTATTCTTTTGGGGTTTTTATAGGCAGCAATCTTGTCTTTAAACTTTGACGATTTAAATAAGCCTACTTTTATTTTTAGGTAAGGACGTTTAAATTTTAATTAAGCTTAAACTGGGCAAGCTATTTCTAGTTTAATACAAAAGGTTTTCAAATGAGCATTGTGTTATCCATTACACTACGTCACCTCCTTAAAAGCCTTAAGAATTAATAGCTAATATAGGCTTTAAATTTTTTAAAAGATTTCAAAATTTAAATTTATATTTATTCCCAATCCAATATATTTCAATTATAATTATACAAGAAATCACACAATATTGTAATGATTAAATATAGGACCATGAAATGAAGTCAAGAAACAAAACTAGGGATCCTGCCGACAGAAAATTTCACTATTCGTAATTTTCGTGAAAGAAAAGTCGGGTCGGCGGGATTCCTAGAACAGACCAGTTTCACATCTGAATATATTAAAAAAATATTTTACTTATTTACACAAACGGTTAACGAACGGGTCCCAAAAAAGTAAGCTGGAAACCAAAAATAACCGAAAAAAAAACGCTGGTTTTTTTAAAGTTACCGGTTAATAATCGGATGTGTCCAACTCCAGAAATAGATAAAAAATTTTAAAAAAACTGGACTGTTTAAAGAGAAAAAAATTAGCAGCAAAAATTAAAATATTTACCCAAAAATTAAACGAAAAAATTATTTTTTCAAGTTATTATGTCACAAAATAAGGAAATTTGTATAGGTTGGTAAATTATACATAGTTTTTTTGTAAGTAAAAGAGAAAATTTGAGCAGGATCAGGATTGAGCACCATTTTTTAATAAACCAGAAATAATTTTAATTTGTATCTTTCAAAAAAATTTTTTAAAAAAATCCTCGGAAGTTTAAAAGGCACTCAATCACAAAATTAATTTTTAAATAAAGCGTTAATTAATAATTTGTTGAAACACTGGTGATACACACAAAGTGAAAGAACACATTAATTCTTTTAAAAAGGCATTTACATATTTTAAAATTTAAACTGGATAGCAACGAATTACATCAACTTTAAAAATTTAAAAAATTTATTTTTTAATTAAAAAATAATAATTTTTACTTATAGGAGTGCGACAGATAGGGCAATCTCCAGAACGACGATGTGTTTCTTTAGCACAGGGAAAGCACCTAAAATTAAAAAAAATTTTTTATTACAAATTTTATTTTTTCTGTTTGAAAAATTTTCCAAATAAAAAATAATTAAACAAGCTTACATGCACATATGCCCGCATCGATAAATAACCTAGAAAAAAAATTTTTTTACAAAAAGATTATTATCGAATGGGCAATAAATTATGTTTTCTTTTCAAATTGTACTTTTGAATTTTTTAATTGTAAATTTTAAATATACCGGATTTATTCTAATAGAACCACCACAGTCTCTAATATGATCACATCAAATGGAGGGGTTGAAAAATAGAACCACACGTGGTACTATTAGAATAAATCAGGTAATTCTGAGTTTTTAATTATTAATTCAGATTTTATACAATTTTAAAAATTGAAATTCTGATATTTTTATTAATTTTCGCAGCTAAAAATTTTTCAATTCAAAAAATTTTACCGCATTAACACGATTTGTCATACAAATTGTACATTCATTATTACGATCCCCATCTTCAAGTTGTATTGCAGCATCCGCATCATTATTATTATTATTTACAGAATTTATTGTTGTTGTTCCACCTTCACCACTACTTTGACGATTTCCTTCCATAAAAGGCCGTCGATTTGGTGAATGATCGCTTGATAAACTTGAAGACAATGCTGCTTCAAATTCAGCTGCTCTATTTCTTAAATTTTGTTGTTCGTTGGATGGAACGTTTAAAGAAGAAAAAAGTGGGGCAGGAAGTAATGGAACCTTTTAAAAAAAATTTTTTAATGTTAATTGGCTTTAGATATAAATTAATTTGTGCCGTCCCGGATTGTGCCGGATTGACTGAAAAATCGAGAACTAACAGCTTTTTTTTAATGCCGGGAATCCCGGTTCACTAATCGTAAATTTTTATGTCAGCAACGCTTCGTAATAATTAGAGACGTCCGAGACCGAAAATTTTCCAAGACTCAAGACCAAGACTAGACCCCAAAACCGAAAAAAAACCAAAAAAAAGTCTTGGAATCAAGACTCAAGAGTCTCTTTAAATGTTGGTTGGCTATTGGGGAGGTGGAGAGCGCTGCCTACATGAGACTATTCATTTTAAGGTTAAAATTTTTAAAATTATTTTGCGCCTCTAGAGTGGTTCATAACCTAGTCCGACTACTTCAAAATCTCTCCAAAATATTTCCTTCAAAAATAATTTTTTTTTAAATTCAATTCACCGTAATTGAAGCACCCGAATTAGTAGTTGTTGGAGCATTAGGAAATTCAAATAAATTAGCTGCAGCATTATTGTGATTATTCCCTCTTTGATTATTAATTGGTCTAACAGGTGAACGTGAATGATTTTGCATTCTTTCCCTTTGTATTTGTCTATAATTGTTGATAAAATCATTTACTGCTTGAGATGAAGATTCAGAATTATTAGTAGAATTATTTCCTCCTCCTCCTAATAATGTTGAAGTGTATGGGGATGAAAATAAAGGAGTTGAATAGGCTGAGGGGGAATTTGTTGAAGAAATTGCTGCTGCTGATGTCGTTGTTGTTGCTGTTGAAGCTAAATTTATTGAAGAATTTGCTTCTGCTAATAAATCAGCTTGTTGTTGATTAAGACGCCGTAAAGTGTTGGCTACACGTAAATTAGTTAAATCTCTAGGTTCGTGTAAAGAATAGGAGGGAGCTGAAAATGATGGGACAGATGTTGTAGTTTCTGATAAGGCTGATGTTGAATTTGTGGTCGTTGAAGCTGCTGTTGATTGGGTAGGTGGAGTAATGCTTAAGGGCTCAGGAAGTGCTACACGTAGAGATTCCTAAAAATTAAATTTTGAGTGGATCCCGGACGTACGGGCAGTGGACATTTGGATAATTACTTCTCGAGTAGGGTTGTTGGCTCGGAACCGAACCGAAGAACTGAGGTTTTTGGTACGGTTCTTCGGTCGGTCCAGGATTTCCGAAGATTTTCTAAAGACCGATAACTTTATTCCCGCCCCATCTACAAATGTCTTATATCCAAATGTCAACTGCCCATATGTCCAGACAAGTTTTGAGTTTATCTGAATTAATTTCTAAATATAAAAACCATATTCCATTGAGCAGAAGACGGTCTACTTAAACGAGTTGTAGGTGAAATGTATAAAGAAGTGTCATTAGAATCACCATGAGCAGAAGCTGCACCTTCTGATGAAGCACGATGCCCTCGCATTGCTATATACTCTGCTGGACTTAAAGGTTGATCGAGATCTTAAAAAATAAATTTAAAAAACAAGTATAATTAGTTCTTTTAAGACTTTAAAATACTATGGCTAGTTCAACAATGTTCTCTGTCAATCCTATTTTAAAAATTCGATTTTTGGTGTTGATTTTTAAATAGTTAAATAGAGTTCGCTCAACAAAAATTTTTAAAAAATCAAACATTATCAGAAATCTTTATATTGATTTTCATGAAAATTGTCCGTTTCCTTTTTAATCATGGTCGTAAGAAAACACGAAATCAAGAAATCGATTCTTGTACACCCCTCTAGTCCGATCTCTAGTAATGAACTTCCCTCTATAAAATCTTTCAAAACTCTCAATTAACTCACCCAATATTTGAATTTTTCTTGTGCTTCCATAGAGATCAAAAAATGCCCAAAGTGGAATACTTACATCAACATGCATTATCACTCTAAAAGGAGCGTCATTTTTGGAGAAAAGAACACGGCCTTCAAAACCAGATTAAAATATTGAAAATTAACTCTTAAAAAACCTGTACAATCCACTTTAAAATTAAGTGTAGTACCAACTTGAGGACTTGCCCCAACGTCCTTAATACAAACCCAATATTCAGGGCGTTCGAGTAATTCATCGCTATCGGCAGGAAGACGAGAAGCGGGGACTTGGTCAGGATCGCTTTAAAAAATTTTTTTTTAATTTTTCTAAAAATATTAAAAACACCAGCTAGTTAATCCAAAAGCTAAACTGCCAGAAAAAGCATCTTCTGTCATACTGACCAAAATAACAATTTTTTCTCCAATTCGAATAGGGCGCTCAGTGAAGACATAACCCAAATACTTAAAAATAAAAAAAAAAATAATTTTTTAAATAGAAGAAAATATTCTTTACATATTCTCCATGTTTTCTTACTGCAGTTGTACCATTATTTTGTATAACAACATTGTTGCCTTTAATAGAATGAAAACGAAGTCTTGCATCTAGAAAATAGACTTTTTTAATTTTAAAATAAATTTAACAAATGAATTCTGATTTTTTAAATAAATATATTAATAATAATTCTGATTATTTTAATGAATTCTGATTAATTATTCCGAGTATTCTGCTAAATTCTGATTATTCTAACTTTTATAATTCTGATTTTCATAATTAAATAATTACAATTCTGATTTTAAAAAATTAATCAGAATATTTAATTATGAAAATCAGAATTTATTAGAACAACAAATAAAGCTAAAACACAAAAATTCTGATTTGTAAATTCTGATTACACATATATCAATAAATACTTAAATTCTGAAATTTAAAAATGAAATACATTCTAACAGAATTCTGAAAATCAGAATAGATTGTTAATTCTGATATTTTAATTCTTAATCAGAAGGGAGAAAATACAAGAAAACACAAACAAATAAAAATAATTCTGAAATACCCATAAAAACAAAAATACAAGAAAACACAAAAACCAGAATCTAAATTGTATTTTTAGATTAAAGAAGGAAGAGAGAAAATACAGGAAAACACAAAAATACAAAAATAATTCTGAAATGTCCATAAATACAAAAAATACAAAAAAACACAAAAATCAGAATTTTAATTGTATTTTTAAATTAACAAAAATACCTCTATTATTATTATTATTATTTGTTGGCGGTGTACTAGAAGCAGTAGAACGAGAAGTCGTTGAATTTCCCACATTTCTCAAATTTTGTGTTGATCTCGAACTTGTCATTGCCTCTGTATTTGATGAATTTACAGGATTAGAAGTTGGTGAAGTAAGTGAACAGCAAGCATGGAGAGGTGTAGGAGAAGAAGGGAGAAGTGCTCTCCGTTCAAGGTGGACCTCGGCAGGGTCCAAAATTAAAAAAGAATAAATCAGAAAAAATTATTTTTAAATAAAAAATGGGAGGGTAACCTGTCTAAAATGTTGCCCCTTTAAGAATTTTTCTAATTATTTTAAATTTATCTCATGTCAAAGATGAAAGTACCTTCCAAACAGAAATGCCCCGGGTAAAGAAAAAATCAAAAAAAATTTTTTTCTGAGGTTTAGGATTTTCAGGTTTAGATTTTTAAATAACCTGTGACATCCCTGATTCCTACTACAAAAATCAAATTAATACTGGACCATCACCCCAAAAAATTTTTTATCGTAAATTTTTATGAGTACCCAGTTCTCCCTAAATCTAAAAATCAATCTCCCTCATTAAAAATATTAAAAACAAAGGAAATCCATACCAACAAATTCAACAGCTACAGAATTTCCATAAATATCAACAATTGTCCACAATGGAGAATTTACATTTATTCCACTCAAGAAAAGTCCTTTATGGACTCCATTTACTCCATAATGCATTTCTCCACTGTCATTAATGAAAAAATGGAGAATTAAGCCTTGGACAGAGACTAAAAAATAGAAATTAATTTTAATAAAAAAATAAACTTTTACATCTCTCAGCAAGTGATTTAGCCCAATAACCGCCTTTTGAAGTTAAATCGGGGCAGGCAAATCTGAAAAAATTTTTAAAATAAATTTTGAATTTTTGAAGGAATTTGGTATTAGGTCGCGCAATAATTAGCCGCGTATTTTTTCAATCATATTTTTCAGAGTGTAATTTTACAAATATTCTTTATTTCTATTACTCAACACAAAGCTCATACTCTGCTCTTCATTTTAATACCAGATATAGCTAAATACGGGTGATATTCATAAAGTTATGATTTTTTGAACTTCACTACCTTGTAGTGAAATTCATAAGCATTTACACCAAAAATTATAAATTACCAAAAATGGACACAAGAAGCAAAAAATCTTAATGATCTAGTCAATGAGGTCGTTGTCTATGCTAGACAGCAAAAAATAGGGTTCAGGCTATAAGAGGAAGGCCGTATGACTCTCAGAAGCAAACATGGTCGAGGGAGACAGGTGTCATAAAAAAACGGTCCTGCTCGGCCAGCATAGATGAAATCCCATTATTTCTACTGCTGAATTATCGAGGAATATCTGCTCTATACATACAGCAAAGCTTGACTGAAAAAACGCAAGCTGCGCTTAAAGAGAGTCCTCTTTCTTTCTCCCCAAATTTTTTCCTATTTATTTAAAAATGGTCAAACTTTTTCCTTTCTTCCATCCCAATTGCCTTTATATATTTTGTCCTTGCGAAAGAATGGAATAAAAAATAATTCGTTTAGATTGTTTGTGGCAATAAATAGAAAGGCAATTGACATGGACGGAGAAAGTCTGCCCATTCTGTACAAATATAGGAAAAAATTTGGTAAAGAAAAAGAGGCTGGAGACGTCCCTATTACCAGGAATTTTAATAAAAAATAAAAAAAAATAAAAAGAAAATACAACTTTGGAAGTTCAATGTCACGGAAGCTCGCAGGATCAACGTTCGTCACACCAAACCTAAATGAACCATTTCTAAACCAAACAATGAACTTTACAATTTTTTAAATTTTAATAAACTATTTTTTGATAATTTTTGGATCCAAAAAATAACAGAAATTCTAAGTTGAATATTCTTTAAAAATTTCTTTTATTTTTTTGCATTTGTGGACAGCAATTTTTTGACTGCGAAGAGTTATGATAGAAAATAAAGACAAACAAAATATATGTTTCAGGATATATTTTTCAGTTTTACTTTAGCAAAAAATAAAAACAGAAAAAAATGGAAACCAAGTTCCGAAAAATTAAGGTTGCCAAATTTATCAAAAAAAACCACCCAATTTTCGAATAATATTTTAACGAGAAATTTTTTAGAAATTTTTTAAATTAAAAAATCTAAACCTCATAACCCCCGACCAATTATTCCCAACTTCACATAAACGAATACACACAATTTCTCCAATACCAATGGGTCTATTACTGAAGGCTAAACCTTTGCAGAACGATTCCCGTCGTTTAGCAACCCTTCCATCTCGAAGTAAAATTATGTTGGTACCACAAATTGAATGGAACCTGTGAAATTATTTTTAAATTTTTATGGGTCTCCTAAATTAAAAAAAAAATAAAATGGAAAGAAACTGAAATTATAAATGACCCAAGACCATTCAGAAATTTTTGTTAATTGTGCTAGTATAAACTTGATTGCGTATACAACCAATAATGTAACACTAAATTGCCTCAAACTTATATTTCAACCAATAAAAATTTTTTAATTCGTCCATAACTTCACTCTAAATTTACTTGGACTTGGATAGTCTCCAAGTCAGCTGATCAAAATAAACACATTTTTAAACAACTTAAACAGGACTTATTGTTAGACTTTTATTTAACCCTAAAAAATATCCAAAGGTCGGGTATCCATGAGGAAAACAAAATCTAAGAGCCTTACAATTAGTCTACCCAAAAATAAAAACCTTTCCCAAAAACAATCAAAAATCTAATCAACGATTTATGTGAAGAAAAAATAAAAACTCCAAAAAACTTTAAATAATCACTCACTTCAACTGAGGTTTAGGACTGACAATAGTTCCTCTATTAATTGTAGTTTCGTTATAATTTGGAAAATTCTCATCAAAAGAAAGGGCAGGGGAGTCGTCTAAAATCAGAAAAAAAAATTCTTAAAATTTCAAAAAAAAACCTTCAGAACAACTCCTCCCAGTATTTTGTCGACATTCTGCATTCCCCATATTTTTATAAATTAATTTAATTAATTTATCTAAAAACAAAATTATTGACAGCTGAAATTGTTAAATGCAAGAAAACATTTTTTATTTAGCGAAGAAAACTAGACGGGGACAGCCAGGCGCGCGCCATAAAGGCGTAGAGCCATAACTTGCCTCAATATTTCCGAATCTTACCAAATTTAGTATTAAACGATTCCTCTCATCAAGCTAAAGAGATTGGTATCAAAATTGATAAGGGCCAGAAATTTTCCAAAAAGTTATGGCTTTGCGCCGTTATGGCCGCGCGCCTACTTGTCCCAAATAAACAAATAGAAATTTCAAAGTGGTAAAAATCATTTAGGTCATTTAAATATATTGGTCTATTGAATATTTTTAATTTTTTCAGAGGAGAGAAGTTTTTAGAGGAGGAAGAGGACTTCTCTAAGGGGACTTTTCTTAAGCTAAAGAAGAATTAATTTTTGTGTTGGTTATTGAGATGAATTTTAAAAATTCTGATTTTTTCCTTGTTTTTTTATTCGTTTTCTGTTTTTTGGTCAACAAAAACCTGACTTTTACGTTCAAGTTAAATCAATAGGTAAAGAGAGGACGTTTTTTACACGTCAGCCGATCGCTTTCTTAAATGATAAATTAAATTTTAAAAAATTTTAAAATCTTTGGTTAAAGTGTAAATTTAAATTGAAGCCTTCCTAAACTTTCCCCATTTTAATCCATTTTTTGTCTTTGAAGTTTATTTCAGTTAGTCGACTGACCGTATTTCTATCCAACAAAGGAAAAAAATTTTCTCTTAACAACAAGACAACTTTTAAAAAAGATATTAAAAATTTATAAAAATTAGCTAGTGAGGATGACCATCAAATTTAAGAGGAAAAAGAATGATGTCATAAATAAAAATTAAAAATACACCTAAAAAGTATAGTAACTAAGAGGGGAATTGATATTTAGCCTCCCCAAAGTTACCCCAAAACTTAAAACCTTTTAACTTTAATTTAAGGAAAAGGAGATGCCATAAATAAAAATACCCCGAAAAATATTATAGTAACTAGAGGGGACTTGATGGTGACTGACTTTGTCTCCCCAAAGTTACCCCAAAACTCAAAGCCTTTTTTCAAAACTTAAAGCCTTTTAGCTTCGCTTATAAGAAAAATTAAAGGATTTTTAAGACTAAGAAACGTAAAAATAATTAATATAAAAATATATATTGAGTAATGCAAAACACGAGTAAAATCATCAACTAGGTCGATAGTTTTTTTATTTGATTGTACTAAAAATCACAACATATGACTCTTCTCCCTTCTTTTCCCCCTAATCGCCGTTAGCACTCAAAAACTAAAAAAGCTTTTGTTTGGGTTTTTTTTAGTATTTTTGGTGTTTCTTTGCTCAATTTCTCAATTTTTTTGTTTCTAATTAAGTGATCAAAAATGATCAGAAGTCGATGGGATTTTTAAAGATTTTGTGTTTAATGAATGAAAAAATGATGATAATTTGGATATTGAGTTTTTAAAATTGAAAAAATAATAAGGCGATTATGTATAATTAAAGGGACCGACTAAAGATTAGACCGATGGCATATTCTAGGCAAGCACTCCACAAACTTGAACGACTAAAAATATTAAATAAGTCGAGGTTGGTTTTCCTAGTTGGTTTCTTAATATCCTAATATAAGCCCTGGGCTTATATTTTTCAATATTCCCTATCGGGTGGTCTTCTAATAGGGCATGGGCTTCTATTAGGATATTTACGGTATATGGGGTTTTTAAAAGGCCGCAAATTTTATTTTATTTGGTATTCCATAATAACATAATTACCGTATTTTCTCGGTTAATTCCCCCGGGGAATTATTTTTTCAACCCTTCCTTGGCATGGGGAATTAATCGAGGGAGGGGAATTATTCGAGTTTTGGCAACATACAGTAGGGCATTTGTTGGTGGCGAATTATTGTTTCAACCAGACCCTAGCATGGGGAATTAATCGAGAGGGGGAATTATTCGAGGGAGGGGAATTAATCGAGAAAATACGGTAGTTAGGGAGGGGACTAACTGAAGATTAGAATGTAGCATATTCTAGGCAAGCACTCCACAAACATGAACAACTAAAAAAATGAAAGAAGTCGAGGTTGGTATTTCTAGTTGGTTTCTTAACCTATGATGGTCTCTTAAAAGGCGCAAATTTTATTTTTTTGGTCCCTCATTATTTATCCCTCATTATTTAGGGAACCTTCATTATTAAGGATCCATCAAACTTTCTTAGATCACACACTTTTCTAAAATGGGAGATACGAAAAAGATATTAATTAAAAATATTTACTGAATAATACTCCAAAAATGGCAAGAAAAATAAGAAAAAGTGAATTCAAATAGCTTTAAATTAATTAACCTTTTTATATTTGGGAAAATTATAGAGTAAAAAGGGGGGACACTCTATTAGAGGGGGCCATTCTAATAGAAGAAATACTGTACATGTATTCATTTATAGTATATCTTCAAAGCTCTATTGGGATTCTTTTGTTGTTGTTAGTTGTTCTTGTGCTTTTCTTCTACCTCTCCCAATCGTAGGGGTATTCGTTTACCCCTTTATCCATCATCGCTGCCTTGAGAAGATCATAATACTAAAATTGAATTTGTTTGTATAAGTGCATTTAAAACTCACTTTGATATTTTGGAGTATCGTAATAACTCAGAGTAATCACGTATTGTAGAATAGCTAAAATGACGTGAAATATTATTTGTATTCAATAGGTCGGGTCTGCAGGTGTCGTGACACGGTTAAAGAGATATAGGAAGATTTTGAGAATATAAAGAAAATCAGTGCAGAAATTCGACTTTTTCAGTGCCGCAGGCGAAAATTTTGAGAATTTAGAATAGCTAAAGGTCAAAATCCTGCTTTTTATAAAAATACGAAAAAATTGAAAGATTCTAAAACGAGGTCCGGGTCCCAAATCCGATACAAAAAAATTTCCCAGATCCGGATTTGTAACTAGAGCCGGACCGGATTCTTCCGGATTCTCCGGATTACTCCGGTCCGGGTTTAGTACGGAAATTTCAAGAACCCGGATTTGGGACACGGACTCTGGGAAATCCGGCTGGAGTCCGGTCCGGCGCCGGTCCTACTCTTTATTAATTTAAATGCTCAAAGAAATTTTTATAAAAATTTTCAAACATTGCTAATATGAAAATCAAAATTTTTAAAATCGATTTAATAATTTCTAAACACACCATAAATATTAATTTAAAAAATATTTTCCATACAAATTAAAGCTACCAATTGCCTCTCATCATTACCCTATCATCATGCCCGTACATATTCACTGTCACATGAAATACTCATCACATGAAGCTGCCATGTTTTCAATTGTGAATAATCTAAACTTGCGTTGGATGCTTTTTAGGTAAATAAAAAATGAATTTTTAAAACTATATTTAGAAATTCTTGCTTGATAAATTAATTTTTAAATTTAAAAGCTTTAATTTTTATTGCTGTTTAAATAAAACAATAAATTTTAAAGATCCCAAACAATTTTAAGGTTTTTTGTATTTTGTTGTTTGTACAAAAGCCTTTAAAAACGATTTTTTAATCTGAATTGGCCATATCATTTTTTAATTTTATTTAATAATTTTCTTTATTATCTAGCAAAAATAATATTAATTTATCTGAGTAAAATAAAATTCTGAAATTACCAAATAAAATAAATTTTAATTAAACCTTGGCATGAAAAATGTTTTTAGATTTTTCAGAAATTCCCATCAGCGAACCAAATTTCCATTATTTGGTATCAGCAATTTTCTTAGTGTCGGGAATCCAGGAAAGAAGATATAATTCGTTTAATACCGGCCAGGACCCCCGATATTGCTAACCCTAATTTAAATGTAGCTCATTTGATAGCCCATTCGTTCAAAATTTTCACAAAATTTCGAAGAGATGTTTTCTCGATCCTATATATTTATACTCAAGTGGTTACAGGTTTTGAAGAATTTCAGGGAATGAAACGGGAATTCTAGACAATTAACAATTATCGCTTTAAGAGAGTCGAAACAAACCCTCCCCAAATAAAAATTATTTTCAGAGATTTTCTAAATTCTAAATAAATGTCTTCAATTAACCTTTTCCTTGTTTCAATTTTTATTTTATTTCAATTAATTCACACTAAAGATTGTAGTGACCATGGGGTTAGCTGTAATGATAGAAAATGCTGTGGTAGCTTATCTTGCAAAAAAACCAACGTTAATGGTAACTATTATTGTTCTTATGCTCCTTGTGTCGCTGATGGAAACACATGTCAAAAAGATGATGGTTGTTGTAAAGGTATGGATGGTAAAGACTACTCTTGTTTGAAAAGGAAAACTTCGTGCGGTTACATATAGCTTGGTCCTTAAAATAACGGAAAAATCGAGATTTACAACGATGACTCTTAAAAGACAATCGTGTGTAAATACATCAGGGTACGGAGTTTTCATGTTGGCTACGGGGAGGGGGTGGGGGTTCAAAAAATCCTCCTGTTATTTGAACAACATCCCACGTTGTAACAAACAAACAATGTCCCTCAGCCAAAATGACCCCAGTGCGAATTTTTCTCAATGTTTTCGTAAGGATTATATTTTTGGTAAGAATGTGTTATGTCGGACTATATTAGCCTGACACGCCTTCTAGTGCACGAAAATCCGAGCTACATAAGGTGTCAAATAATTTTTTCGACTTCTACAGATTCAATATGTGGTACAGGAAATGTATGCGTAACATGTGATGGTCAATCTTGTGCCAGAGACGATCAATGCTGTCCTAGATTTCATTGTAATGATGAACAAGTGCTCAGCTTGTGTCGAAAGAAATAAACCCTTTAATTTAATTCTTTTTATTCAAACGGGAAATTTTCTCTCCTCTCTTTACTATAAAATTCTTATTTCGGTAAAATTCATGTTCGTCTCCCCTTATTCCTTCATTTATACATAATGGTCAGACTTAATTTTTTCCTCAATTCCACTTAATTTTCCTGTGGCATATTTAAATGA